ATTGATACATGATGTTCAACCACTACTTATACATTCTTATTGGCTAGTGGTGCAATTACTTGGAATACTAAGAAGCAACTAATAGTTACATTACTTACCACCAAAGTTGAATACATGGCAGTTGTTCATACTACATAGGAAGCAATTTGGCTTCAAATATTTTTTAAAGACATTGGATTTTCACAAGATAATTTTTTGACTATTTTTAATGATAATCAAAGTTACATTTTTTTTTCAAAGACTCTTACATTCTATGCTTGTACTAAGCATATTGAAATTCAACATCACTTTTTTTGTGAGAAGATTGAAAGAGGTGACATCAACTTAGTTTTTTGCATGACTCAAGACATCGTTGCAGATGTTTTGATCAATGGTCTAACTCATGAAAAATATTATAAATTCAAGAAAAATAATGGACATCATCAAATTGAGTTAGTCTAATATATAATTAAGTGTGAGTGTGAAACTCTTATTAGACATAAAGTAGAATGGGTGGTTGACACTACTTTGCCAACTGACAAGTTATAGTTACCATTTGTTGGTGGTAATACCATTTAACTGTTATAGCCTATCAAGCCATATACAACTTAAGAAGGCGAGTGTCCATATGTTAATTGGACATTGTTGAGTAGGCTAATTGTTTGCGCATTCACATTAGAAAGTCCATGTGGTTAGACCATGGACTTGTGCTATATAAGTAGTAGAAGTAGAGGTTCATTTTAAGGGTTTGTTCTCTTGAATCCTTGATATTAAGGCAAAGTACTCTTTTGTATTTGCTTCATAAAACTTCTATGTAAATAAAAAAAATCGTCTTCATTTTTTCATAATATTTTATATCTATTCTACATTGTATAAAATTATATAGAAAATATTCTTTTAAATTAATTTTATTTGTAGGTCTTGATGTCTATTATATATATTTTTTCTTCAAAAATATATGCATAAGATGGGACTACAACCTATATCACATGCAAATGTATTTCAAATGTGTATCAACTCTATCTTTGTTAAGATTATATTTTGTAATATTATTTTAACTATACTATGCATATCTATTTCTACAAACTAGAGAAAGAATTATCATTTTTTGATATGCTACTTCTAGTTCAAAGTTTTTCTTTTTAAAATCACTATTAATTTATTTTTGTGTTTATATTTCTCGTGATAAGAGTCAAGTGTTTGCTGATTGAAATTAATCTTATCTTGAAATAATTGTTTTTAAATATCATTTATGTATTTAATTTTTTTTTTAGAATATCTTATATTTTATGTTTTGAATATTATCCTGCTAAATTTAGTAGTATCCATATTATTTGCTTCCTTTTCAATCACTAAAATGACTAAATTATTTAAATTGGTTCACAATATGATATAAAATACTTGGTATAACTCAACTTTTAATAAGAAAATCGATTTTTAAATATCCTTGAATTTTTTTTTGTGAAATCAATAAAATCAAATTTGAAAAAACCTTACTGCTAAGCCTAATTACATTGTAAGCTTGTTTTAGCATTTAACAATGTTTTTGGCCCACATGATACTCTACCTTACCTTTTTAAACTGCAACCTTCTAGGACCTTAATAACCTATGCAATAAAAAAAGTACCACAAAAAAGAATTTTTTATGGAATCAATCATATTAAAAAAAATATGAATAAATTCAACAATCAAAATAAATATCAAAATAATTAATTATCATTTTAATTAATAGGTTCACAAGTCATACACATTACTTTCATATCAATATTGTATGTTAAATAAACTGAACATTTTTATTTTTATTGAATAATGTTAATATAAAAACAGGAAAGATAAAGTAATTTTACATATAATGTTTTTAGTACTGAACAACCTCAGAAGTACATTGCATACCAAAATACCTGGTATTCAGTCAATGATCCAAAAGTTTCATTTTGTTCTAATTGTGAATCCGATGCAATTTATAACTCATTGCAAGATTAGCAACAAGTCAGGATGATTGTTCATTGCCAAATATACCAACACTTTGCAGGAACATTTTACAACTTAATGAAATTCAACTGGATTATTCTAAATAAAAATCTACATTGACAAAAACGAAGTGTTTGAAGTCACATGTAACAGCATGAAAATGAAAAACTTTGGTTTTCCTCCAAATTTTTCCAGCTGGATAGAGTCTCGGTTGATATAACAAAAAATCAAGGCAATACCACTGATGTTCATGAAACTCACTTGAACATCTTTAAAAGACTTAACAATGAAGAAATTTTTATTTTAAATAAATTATTAGTATTACATGAAGAATCCAAAATTAATAAAAAATAAATGCCTTTAAAATGTGAAGAAAAGGCTGCATAAAAGACATCCAAGAATCATGATGGCGCATAACTGTAATAGTTCCTTCAGCTCCTTGGGTATCTTAATATATATATATATATATATATACATTTGTTGGTAACATGTCACAAGTTTTGAGAAGAGTGAGAAGACACCTTGGTATTTGTGAAAGTATGTATGTGTCTATTTCTCTTCTTCTTATGAAGCGGAGTAGTAGGTATAATAGTAATTATAATAATCATAATAAATTAAGAAGGGTGTTTTTTTGTTTGCTTATTTTCTATTTTATTTGGTAATCAAAGTGCACAAAATGTCTCTTCCAAACCCAAAGAATCTTGTGGAAGTATTGGAACATTATTGGAAAATCAAATGGATGGATATTTCCAACTCTCATACATAAATCATATAAAATGGAATCAAGTAAAACAAAAGAAAACGGAAGAAAAATAAAAGATATCTCCCCATGAATGTGATGATGAGGAGTACTTCTACAAGTGGCATGTCAAGTAAATGTGTCAAGACTTATTTTCAAGACTTTGTAAGTAATTATTCACCAAATCATTTATTATTATTATTTGTATAGATATTACTTCCATGGGTAACACTACAAGTGGGGCTTGTCAAAGAATCATAAGCACCACTTCATAGGCCACTCTATATTTTTACATTAATTCTCAATGGGATCAACACCAACACCTTTGTTGGGCTTCACAAAGGCACAACAAACACATCAAATTTTGTGTGCCAAGATCTTGAGCGGGATTTGGGGTGGGTATGCAGTCCAATGAAATGGGTTGCAGTGTATGTTGTTGAGTCTATATAATATTCCTTATACTTCTTCCTTCCTCTTTTATAATGTTAAGTTACTTGACCAAAGGGGGATGAATATAGGATGGAAATTATCAATTCATCCAGTGGAACCCAGTGCTGCTTATTTGGATTCTATCTCATGGAAGTGTCCTTTCTGGACAATGCAAGAAGAATAAGTAGAGTGGAGATAAATTTATTAAAAAAGAAAAACAAAACAAAACAAAACAAGAATTCAAGTAAAAATAAAACTGCAAAGATGTAGTTGATTTATTTGTCCAAGGGGAACCTCACAAACATATGTTGCTATTATTTGTGATTTCAATAAAATAATATAATAATATCTTGTATAACACAAGTAAATACATCAAAAAAATTGATTTATACTCACTCAATTCAACCTTACATAAATTAATAAATTATAAAAAGTATCCTTTGGACACTTTTTATATTGATTCTGTAGGTCATGGAACTCAATCTCACTATTTCTTTAAATTTTGTATTTTACTGTTAGATTGATAGATTGGACTATTGACAAACCTCACAACCTATTAGTTTTGAGGCACACATAGTTTTATATATATATATATATATATATATGCACTTTGTTGCAGAGTAACAATATTTGGAATTGAGTTGCTGAAAAAATGATTGAGGAGCAAAACAAAGATACACATCACATTTATCTATACATTCTGAATGCCATCATTATTTCACCCAACAAATCATACAACTAAATAGTGCAAGCAATCAAAACAACAAATATTGAAGACACACAAGAAATAAAAACATTACATAAATAATTTAGCACTTTTATTTATATTAATAAGTTACATGTTCTGTCTGACTTCTGCATGCTATGACTAACAGGCAGCAGACACATATCACTCTTGTCTATGGAGAAGCCAAATTGAAAAATGATCAAATTTAAATGTCAAATCTATTCATGCTATTCATGCAGTGATAGCAACAAACTTACAGTCTGAGCAATGTTGAACATGGGGTGAATTGTTTGAGGCATGGGGCTTATCCCATCTGAAACCCTATTTTAGGACCAAAAAAATTTGCATCCAAAATTTGACCAACTTAATGCACAAGCCATGATGTGTGGCGCCCCTCCTCCCTGCTGCAAGGCCCTCTGTCTGCCTTAATGCATGGCTTCTCATTTTTTCCAATTAAGATAATCTATTTATTTCTAAATTCACTGGTATGATTATGTACATTATTTTATAATAATAAAGGGGGAAAGAAGAAGGAGAAGAAACCAATCAATTAATATGATGAAAAAGTCTGCACCTCAAAGGGTGAGCAGGATTACTACTTGCTCTCAAATCAGGAGGGTGGTGGGGTCCTGAGGGAGGATGGCCAGCTCCCCAGAACAACAACCCAAGACCAGCAGCAGCAGTGTATAAAAAGGCAAAAATGCATAAATGAATGTGGTGTGTGTTTAATGGGTTGGAGGATTACACTATGTACACCAATTATCACTAATTACCTGCCTGAGAGTACAGGATTTGATTTTGCCATTAGCAGGGAAGCTTGGGGGATTTGAAGAGTTCCTCCCTCCCTCTCTCTCTCTCTCTCTATATATATATATATCTCTTTGCTATTGCAAGGGCATTGGTATTGCACTTTCATTACTCATTGGACTTTGATCCATATGCACTCCTTCTATGTAATGCCTGCAAGTGGGGTCAAGAGTGGCACAGAAAGGACTCAACACAACATCAAGCCTGAGCTACAGTCCATTGCCATCCCATTTTTCTGTCTTTCTGTCTGTCAATGGGTCCGTCCCATTTCCTCATCCCTCTTCTGCCCCCCATCAAATCCTGTGCTGCTTTCAGACCTTGTCGCTGTGAGATCTTCACAAAGTCAGATTGATTTTATATTTTATATTTATTCTCTTTTTTATATGCAATGTTTTTTTTGGGTTTTGGTTGTCCCCAAGCAGGCTGGGTCACTCTTTCCAACTGCCTCCTCCACACTTAGTGATTTCATGCTTTTCTACAGTTCCCTAAGTTGAATGCTGGCATCTGAAAATGACCAGCTGATGTGTTTGTTGTTGATGTGTGGGCTTCAGCTCAATATTGACCTTTATATTATCCAGCTCATAGAGCTACTGAGAGATTGGGTGTGTCATGAGCACACTTGAGAGATTTGAAGGTCAGATCCCTCACAACAAAACCCTGTCCAAAAATGATCCCCAATTACAGCTTTCCCTGGTCATAGGTCTATAGATCATAGATGGATAGATAGTTTACTAAAATAAATAAAGAAATACACGAGAAAAAACAATTTAGCCGTGGAACAGCTTACGTGCTTTGGGAGATCGGACTGCACCTTATCAGTTTCCCTACCATGGACTGCTAGAATGTCCGCACGGCATGCTGAAAACGGTAAAGGGAAGATGTTGGCCACTCACAGCTTTACAAGGTTTTTGGAATTTTGCATGTAATCATACTGGCAAAGTTTGTTACAACTGCGAGGACAACGTTAGTGCTGAGGTGGAAGAGCCTCGAGGGAGAGAGGATATTGCAATATATTTTAACACAAAACGCCGTGGTTTTAGTGAGATCGCGTTGGACCTCAGATATGATTTCGGGTGCACTGTTGCTTTGGTGTCTAATGCATCGAGACCCACACCGATCCCGTAGGATAAGAGAAGGTCAGCTAACAGAAACAAATATATTATTTCACTATTAGACAAATTGTTTACCTGAGAGGCTACATTTGAACCAGCGTCTGGTTTCTACTCAAGAATGGGGGCTCCGATCTAACCGCTGGATGGATCAAGGCACTTGAATTCATGAATTCTATTGACGTTTACCGCCAAAGCTGCAAACAAAAGCGAGCAAGAAGAGGCAAATGAATGGTACAAACCATGGATTTCTCGGTGGGCGTCAATGGCAGATCGATTGGATGTCGCTGCATCTTGGACAAAGAGATGAACAGTGCGCTACAAGCTGTGTCATTAACACCAACTCCTAGGAGTCATAGGCTTTTCTATGAAGAAACTCAACCCCACATTGCCCAGAGTCTGCGATAATGTACGATGATAAATACGGGAAATTGAGAAACTACAACTTCAGAAACCACTCGTGTAAAATTTGGAACAGATTACACAAATCAGGTCACGTATACTATAAAGCTCAGTGGAGTTGTCCATTTGGAAGTATAATTCAATCACGAGACCATCGCAAAAAAAATTAAATTTTAAAATTGAAATGCCACAATCACTTTCATAAATGAGTAGAGAGCATTCTGCAATAAGACTCAAAGAATCAGTAGACATAAAACCAAGCACGCAATTTGATAAAAATATGATACCAGACAGAAAACTTGAAACCTGAAGTCCAGAATTTACAAGGATCCAATTGCGCGCATGTCGGAGGTAGAGCAGCATAATTTTTGTTAAAAAAGCCGTGTGACAGCGCACGCAAGTGGAAGACTGGCCAGAGCCAAAGCGAGAATGAATTGGAGTTAGCATCCGGGGGTTGGGGTGTTTACTTACAAGAAGGGGAGTGAAAAAAAAAGAAAGAGAGTAAAGATCCTCATTGAAGAGATTGTAAACTAGGTCCGTAACAAAATGTGGCCACATCTACCTTGGTATTAAGGGGGCATTTGGGCAATTCATGCCACGATCTGCGCACCATATCATAAACCGCAACCGAGAGAGTCTTTTTAGATGCCACACATATCTTGTCGCCAAACGCCACAGGCTTCCATCCGCCCCTGCATTTGAAAACGTCCAGCATCACATTCTGAGGCATCTCAGTGACCTCGAGAAACCGTTTGGAAACAGGCTCGAATTCCACGATTCGGATACTCGTGAGCCGGCCATTCGTATTTTTCTGGGCAGCGACCACAAGGACTCGACCGCCACATGACAGCACATAAGGATCGTCCCTCATGCCCCTGGGAAGCCCATGCACATCGGTCCACACGCCGGAATTAACATCGTATGCAATGAGTCCTTCCATGTTCATGCCGCCAATTTCCAGAGCCACGCAGTAAAGAAAGCCTTTGCAGTACGCAGAGCTTCGCCTTCCCCAGAGCAAGAAGTGCGGGGGTAAGCAGCTCGTAGCTTGCCACGAATTTTTCCGTGACTCAAAAACATGCGTACTTTCCAGATAATGGGTGAGTGTAACAATCATCTTGAAACCCTGGCTCTTCCCATTCACTACCATGTGCGTGATTCCAGGCTCGTAGTCCTGGGATAGCGATGGCACTCTCTTTAAGCTACGGGTTACGGGATTGCATACATAGTTTAATGCCGTGGATGGCGATTCACTCAAGCATAGAAGCCCGCCATCGCCGGCCAGGATATGCTTCGCTTCTTTCGGGAGGAATGTGAGCGGTGGTAGGTACAGCCACTTACGCTGCACATGATCGTAAGCGCACCATCGCCGGTCCTCGCCCTTCGACAAAAAAACGGGGAAGTATGGGGGCGAGACGGGCGCTTCTGCCCGCAGCTTCACAAGATTGTTCGAAAAGCCCACGCTCTTCCAACACTTACACACGCATCGCGCTTGAAACAAGCTGTGCAAGGGCAGGAATGCAAACACTTTCTCAATCAGATCCTTAGGTAACATGGTCCACAACGGCGTCTCCGCGCCCTGTGCAATCGCCCCCGTCTGTGATTCCCCTTTCGCCTTCATTCGTTCCACCTCGTCCGTACCCTTACTCTTGTGAATAACTCCTCCGGTCACCATCCCCTTGGGTGTCCCCATCTTGTATGAGGCATAACTAGTCTCGAATACCGCACCTCCGTCGCCGACATGGTGATGACGATGGTGCTGGTGCTCCCTCCCGGAAGCACCACCCCGCCCCGCCCCGCTCTGCTTGATCTGGCACCTTATCATACTCTTTGTCCTCTTCTCCTCCCTCTCCCTCCGCCCTACGCTAAACATTCTCGTGTGCGGTCAAAACTTCACCAAAACCCTCACTCTGTCAAACTGAAACGGGACCAAAACCACGGCGTCGCCTCGCCGACACCAAAACTCATACAACACTCCTCATATACTCCCAGACCGCTACATTGCACTACAAAAAAACCATTACGGTCGGCCACCTCTCCCTCATCTCAAAATCCTGCTCCACATCAGCCTCCCACGACCATCACCGATCGCTCCCTCAAATCGTCCCAGGACTGTCGGCTCCAATTCGCCCCGGCTACGACTATTTCCTCGGCCTAGCACCGAATCTCAGGCGGTTTTAGAAGCCGAAGGAAGCAGGGCAGGAGGGCCATGGCCGTGGGCGGACCGCAACACGAACTCTCTCTTTCTCTCTCTCCCACTCTCACACTCCCACTCTCACTCACGCTCACTTGCTCGCTCGCTCGGGGGCTGGCTCACCACCAGGCACGCGTAAGTAGCAACGGGGGGGGGGGAGGCTGTGGGGACGGGGGGCCTCTTCCTCACACGACGACCTCGCCCTTCCCTAGTGCAGAGGCATATGACTGACTGACCACTACTACCTCTACTACTACAACTGCACCTCCCCTCGCTCGCTCCCTCCCTCGCCGCTCCCTGCCTGCTTCCTCCTCCAAGCCCTGCTTGAACCAGCCAGCCCCCTTTCCTTCGCAACGGCGATGCCTGTCTGCCCGTAGGTTTAGAACGTTCGTCATCCTCGTCATCGATCTCATCTTCTCGTCGTCGTCCCCGTTGTCGTTCTTGTCGCCGTCACTGTCGTCGCACCTGCTCCTGCTCCTCCTGGCGAAGGGTGAGTCGGTCGGAGCAGCTCCCCAAGAGAGAGTTGGCATCCGGGCACTCCGCTCAATCTGCCCGCGCCGGGCCCGCTGCGATGTGGGAAGCTGAGGTAAGCAGAGCGGGCTGATGAGATAATATACATAATATAAGCTGGAGGAGAGTGCGAGACCTCGGAAGGTTCCTAAAAACAGGCTGTGTCCTAAATACAGAGGTGGAGGAGGAGGAACCCACCCAGTGAAGTAGCCCATCCCCTCAGCTCCTCACTTTAGGGGTATGGGTTCGGGGTTTCTAGAGAATGTGTGCAGAATATGGGGGAGAGTCCTTCGGGGAAAAGTAACACACAATAAAATAAAAAAGCATGGAGGCAAATAATAATAAATAATAATAAGATAGATGTGGCCTCCCTTTTCAATTCCCTGTTTGTACCCCACTCATACCCTTCCCCTCTATTCCTGCTTTGCTTTGTATTTGTGCCAATCTTGTTATTGTATCTCTTCTTTTGATAAATCCCTTGTGATAGTGGTTTATATATATACATATATATATATATATATATGAATAAATAGACATGACTTCTCTTATTTCCATTGTTACATCACTTACATATATTGGCATTTGTAGGTTTTGTGAATCTATAATAAATTAACGGAATACCCACAAATCAAAGGTTGTTTTTTTTTTAATCTTTCCTTCCTCTAGAAGTTTCTCACAATATCGTGTATCTATATATAGATATGCATATAGAGATAGAATAATACCTCGTTTATTTACATCACGTCAATAATTAATGTTATTTATAATATCATCAACTTGAACTCTTATTCATTGAATTTATGCATCAATTTAAATATTTGGATAAGGATTATCAATAAAATATTAAGTGAAACAAAAATTGATACATTGAAGAAATGATTTTTAAAATACTGAGGTTTTTCTTGTATTGTGTTGATCTTCACCTTTAAATTTTTAATATAATTTATTTTAACACATGTCAATTTAAAATATCATCAATGAATCAAAATCGAGATTAACAGCTACTTTAATTGAGATTAATGGAACAATTTAATTAAAATTAATGTAGCAGTTTGACATACAATTAACTAAGCTATGAAATAAATGGATTGTTCAACATATTGTTTGGTTTAGGTGTATTGCACCCTGATCTATTGTTCAAGATTCAATTATAATGTGATAAACTATCATCAAGCTGTTGTGCTTGAATAGATTGAGGTCATTGCCAACATGTCATTTGTAAAGATTAAGACAACAAGTGCTTGAAGAACTATCAAGTGATGTTTTGATTGTAGTTGTGAGTATATTCCTCTTCCTTTCAAAGTCTCTCACTGCCTTTTTGACCTCAACGGTGGGTTTTCAGTCTAATGATTTTTTTTTGTATGCTAGATGTTGGCATTTTCTTTGTTGTGGTCCACTAAAATGGAATGCAAAAATCAATACAAATTTTAGAGCAAGAGTACATGTTTTTTCATATCTTTTTCGCTCAAGGAAAGACTCGCTGAATGAAATATGCATGATTCACAACTTAATCTTCTAAAAGTGCAGCAAAGCATTCAATGTGACTCATATTGATAGGCTCACATGATCCATGCAGTCTTTTAGTGATGGCTCTTCATGTAAATGTGATGTCTTTTTAATGTGCTTTTGCACATATCCTACACCATGGATAATGATCCAAACTCAATATCTTTTGTTTCATAAGTTTTGATTAAAAAAAAATTACAGTATCAATGCTTGCAATGTAAGAGATGAAGGAGATTTTGTCCCTAGTATTGCCAAACAAGTATTTTGTTCATGTCAATTTTGATTTTTTGCACCTTGGTGTCTTTCAATATGTCTTATTTGATTTACAATTCTAATTCAAAACATTTCAATGTGGATCCCATAGCACATAATGAAGCAAAGTTTCAACCCCAAGCTTTGGCCTCATTGGATGTGTAACTACACCTCGTGCTCACAAACATTTAGAATATTAAGAAGGTTCAGTGCATGGGATTTCAAAGGTTTAGCAAGTACAGATGACCTTAAGATGTGTGATTTTGAAGTATGTATATTTCCTTTGTTGGATTCTCAAGAATTATTGGATATCCATCACATTGTTGTAAGAACCCGTGCCATTGAGGATTATGCATATGTTTCTGTTTCTAGCTGAAACAATAATAAAAGTTGAAAAAGAACATGAGAAATAGTAACTTTTTTTATTTTTTTTTTATTTTTTTTGTAATGTCAAGCAATGAGAAAGCATCAACATTCATGATATGCTGAGCACTTTCAATTTTGAATATTAAAAAAAAAAAAAAAAAAAAAAAAAACCATGCCAATTTTGAGCTTATACTAGAACTTGAGAATAGCAAGCATTGTTGACAGGATTGTGAAGATCAAGCATGTAAGCCACCTCATAAACAATTTCTTCAACCAAGAATTTGATGACAACAAAAAATAGTTTTTGGTAAAACTGCACAAGTGCTCAAGATTTATTTATGTGTAATTGCAATTATAATTGGAACTGACAGACTCAACCAATATTGATTTATGCCATTATTGAGTTCCATCATTTCATAGATTATTATTTTGGACCAATAATTTTAATTCCAATAAATATTGAAAGCAACAATTTCAATAATATGATAATATGATAATTTATTGAAATAATTTTTAATTTTTTTTAATAATGATTCAATAATTTTAATTATCTCTTCAATTATTTGATGAAATCAATTATCTTGCATATTCTCCTGGAAGATATTTCATATTTATTAATACATAATACATTTCATATTAGAAATTTTAGAAACCATAAAAATGGTTTTTGAAATGTGTTATAATAGATTTCAAAAACTATCATTCTATTGTATATTTTACTTCTTTTTTTCTAAAAAAATTATAAAAAATATTTTTTGGTTTTCAAATATTCATAAAAAATTATAATTTAAGGACTTCATTGTTAGGTTTTTTCTAACCACAAATGCATTATTTATATTTACGATGTAGCATTTGCACTAAACTTTTGTTTCTTCTAGCATCTAAGAAAGAAGATTGCAAGTGAATAAAAAGCCAACAATTTTTACTAATATAGAATTGCCATGCAACTTTGAATCTAACTTTCGTGGTACTATTATATGCCGCATTTATTCCAATATTGTTGGCTCCATACAAAACACTATAAGCTACTTACTACTTTCTTTTGTACAACTATTCTTAAGATACATGAAGCACATTGAAGAAGACCCATCTGCTAAAAGAAGATGAAGCTCAAAAACCATTGAATGCAAAGCTACCATTTCCAGAGTTTCTACAGCTTTATAAGCCTCTTTTATAAGCTCCTATATTATGGGATTGCAATCTACTAAAGCATGTGTTTTCTTTTTCATCTATAATATAATAAGCATAATCTAAAAATTAAAAATCTGATAAAAAATCTAAGGTACCTAGCTAAGAGTAACTTGGTTGTATAGATATGGCGGGATTTGGTACATATGTTTTACTTCTATTTGATTGTGTACTTCAATTTTGTCAAGTATTGGCCTCAATGCAAGTTTCATGAGTTTATGAGTGAATTCCTAGAGATTTGGTACTTGATCCAATGAGATTATTGGTACTATGTAATACCAAGGTTGAAGATTGCTTATTAGAGGTGGATTAGCATTGAGATTGTGTTAACATGGAAGATGATATTGCCAAGTAGATGGTATGAACCAAAGTAAAATAAGAGCAAGGAGAAAGTGTAGTGTGCGAGGAGGACTCAATTTAAAACACAAGTAATAGTTTAGCAAGTTGTTATGTTTGTGCAAAATAAATTCATATATAAATTATTCTACCATTTATTAAAAATATATGGCAATCATGACATTAAGTTTGTAATTATTTTCTAGCACAATAAATAGAAAATTGTATCAGAATTATTCATTTTGAACCATGTTGAATTTAATTTTTTTTTCTTTTTTTATTATATTTTTAATATTATAATAATTTAATTATTATTATATGAAATAATTTTAAATATATATATATATATTTAAAATTATATTATATTAAAAAATATAATTTAAATAAATATTTTTAAATAAATTGATGCTGATTTTTTAAAAAATAATAATTTCAAGATGAATTATTTTAATTACAACAAGTGATTGAAAAAATCAAGTAAATTTTTTCAATTGTGATAATATCAAAAGACACAATGTTATAAATTATATTCAAAATATAACAACATTCACCTAAATATTTTAAATTCAATTTGTCTATTTTCACTTAATTTCTCTAATTACAACAATAATAATACCTAATATAATATTATGATAAAAGTGGATATAAGTTTATTAATTAATACTTTTTACATCATCAATAATAATATATTATTTATTCACAATATGTAAATGAATAAATATAGTACATTGGATTGTTTTACATGTGCAAGGTAAAATGCTTAAGAAGCTAAGATCTTGATATTGACAAACTGAACTTGCTAGAAATCCATAACAACAACACATGTTCAACTAGTCTATGTGTATTAATGATACTAAATATTAAACTATAGTGGAATTTATTTCAATCTAATGCTAATTCATCATTTTTTAGAATACAATATAAAAAATAAAAAATAAAAACACTTTCAAATTATTAACCTCTAAAACACTTAGGTGTAGATATATACACATACACAC